CAAAAAGAAATGATAATTAGACAATATGAAATGATTTGTATAGGCTAGATATGGACGGGACCAAGGCTTTTCAGTCCCGATCCCGAAGCATTTTTATGGTCCCAGTTTTTAATAAAGTTTGCATGACATGGGATGAAAGTTCAATGCCCAGGAAAGAACTGTAAGACTTCCCGACGATTTTCTACCACATTCTATTTAAGTATGGAGAAAAAGCCAAGTTTTAGCTGATTTTACGCAACTGTCAACAGAAATCTTAGTTCCAGTGTCGGTCCCGGAACAAAAGTTTGTAGTTCCGGTCCCGATCTCGGTAAAAAAGCTTTTCTGATCCTGGGACCGGAGCGGTTCCGTCTAGCATAGACGAAAGAATCCCTAATCGAATGAGGAGTGTAATGAAAATTTCATTAAAATTTCTGCAAAGTATATGCCTGGAAACCCAAGATTTTAGAAGATCCTAAAAGATCAAGTCTTAGAATTTCGATGAAAACTTTTTCTAAATAATTTAGTCGTATAGAATCTTGATTTTCAATGGTTTAGATGTGACATCGGCTTTCCTGAAAGTCTCAGAACCGGCTAGTGACTACGTGAAATAACCGATTTTCGTCTATTTTGATTTAAGATTGAAAAATTCATAACTTCACTAAAATCGATTACAAGGATCCTAAAATTTCAGAAGATTTTTCAGAAGAAGTCTACGTATCAGTTAACAGAAAACCTAGAAAAAATTTGAACAAACGACTTTGGTTTTCTAACCATAGTTCAAGACCATTAGTAAAATGAATGCATTTTTATAATTAGTGCGTTTCAACACATGAAATGTACAACAATAAAGAAGTATTTATTCTACTTCGCTTCGAAAAAAAGTTACAATATCTTATCTGATCACGTAGCTAAATGAAGCAAAAAATTTTACCAGTAATCAGTAGCCAATGCAAACTGTAAACTACACAAAATTTTAAGTCAAGAGCCTATGTAATTGTTGAATGACAGGAAAACAGATACTTTTGAAGAGTACGATACTTTGACAGTCTTTTTCAACTAACCATTTCTTCTTGTTCTTTGGGTGAATCATTTAATTTTTGTTGTATAAATAATTTCATTTCCAAATTTTGCTGATATACTTGTTGATATTGTTTGTCTAATTGTTGTAATTCAGTTCTGGTAATCATGAGTAATTCTTCTAACGCTACTTTATCATATTTGCATGCTTGATATTCATCTTTAATAGATAACATTTCAGCTAAGTTACCCTAAAATCACAAGAGAATAGTAGGCACAGTGAAATGATACATTCAAAATATCATACATCTTTACTATGAACACGGTCTAATTGCGTTCGATGTAGACTTGCGTATGTCCTTGTTAAACGTTCAATGGACTTTTTCAAACGAGAAATCTAAATTAGGAATACTTAAACGTTTATCGAGTATGGTGAACAAAATGAATTTCAGAAATCAAAATGAGAGCAACGAATTTGAATCGTCTGTAAACGATGATTACCAGACTTGGGCTCGCGATATTGCCGTCGCAGGGCAATTTTTTTCGTCCTGTCCTGTCAAAAAATTACTCATCAATTTTTTTTGGTCCTGCCCAGCCAGCTGAAAAAGAAAGTTTTTCTCCTTAACTTAGAAGACTTTATCTTCAAGAAACTCATCACAAATACTGGATGTGTTTCTCATACGTAACAGAATCTTTTTTTTATTCATGATCAATTTTAGAAAATTTGACTGTCATTTTTATTTTTACATATACGAGAGATCTCAAAATTTTACTTAAAAAGAAGCTTGAAAATCTCAAAAATCAATCTCTCGCAAGGCAAATCAAGGAATTATTTGTTGCCCTGTTCTGTAACAAGGCAGGGCAACAAAAATATATCGCCCTGTCCTGCGATAGTCTCTGGTAAGAGTACATTTGTTAAAGTGTGATGCATAACGATAAAAATGGTACGAGGTAAGAGCTTTTCTATATTACTCATATCCATCTGTAATCATTGTTTGTTTAATCTTAATCGATACTCAACCTCACACACATCCGCACCGGCGTCTTTGAATCTCAACTGTCGTTGCGCCCAAATGTCGGTGTACCGTAAACGATGCATCTAATTGATATTTTTGTCTTATTCAAATTGTTAACCAAAAATATTAGTTTGTCTCTACATTTTTCTCGAATTAAGTACATTTCATGTAGTGGTTATATATACCTCATTCACTTTTTCATTTGAACTTTTTCTTAAATCATCGACGTATAATCTTAACTCTTCCAACTGTTGTGATGATGGAACAAAATTCACGATATTATTCTGATCTGATCAAAAAAGGAATATATTTTTAATAAACTGAAAGATTCTACGAGACAGTGATCTTACCTGCTGTATCTGGAATTATTTTGCAGAGTTTCAATAGATCAATCAATTTTACATTACAACACGAATGCTTATCTTCGATTAAACGTGCTTTACGACGATACTAAAATTGATAAGAACTAACTCAATATTTTTGTGTGCATTTATTATTAAAATACATCCTCAAACTTACATTTGTTAGTTCATCTTTTAATGATTTGATTGTTTTTTCATAAAATTGTTCTGCATTATTCATTTCTAAACATTTCTCTTCCAAATCTTTCTGTAAATGATTTAACGTTGTACGGCGTACTCTTTCATTACTAAACACAACAATTAATAAAATAAAATTTCTTGTCATTTCGCATCTTACACAATCTGTTTTTGTAATTCTTCAATTTTGTTTTCATCATTCAATTTGCCTTGTTTAATTAAATCAATAGTTGTTTGTAAGTCTTTTACACGACACTATACAAAGAGAGTAATATAATAGAATGTAATTAACTTGATTTTGAATAATAAATGAATAGAATACATACGTTCAGCAATTCTCCTGCTAATTTTGTTTCATTGGTTATCGTTCGTTCATTTTCAAGCGTCTGTTCCAAAAATTGAACTTTCATAAACAATACCTATTATTAAAATAAAAAGTACAACATTAATAAGATAGTCTATGAAATTTTCCTGTGAATTGTCAATTAGATATGTCCTAAAGTCTAGTATTTAATTCTTACATCATATTCTATTTTCATATCATTTTCTTTATCTTTTGCATGTATCGCATCAGCCACATATTTTCGAGAAATTTGCTCCGATTCATCAAATGTTTCTAGATTAAATATATTAAGGAATATAAGATTACGTATGAATATTCATGTTTTCATCATATACTTTCTAATCTTTCAATTTGTTCATTTAATGTTCTAATGCGTCTAGAAAAAAGTTACTTTTTCAAAGATGGAATAGAAATAGAAGAACAAATTCAACTAACCGTTCTCGTTCATAATGCATATCAGCTGTTGACTGAAGTTTATAGATTTGTTCATTCTAAAAAAAAATCAAAAATATCTACAAGTTTTAAATCTGAAAATAAGCGATATTGTGCGCTGGGAACTTTATCAACAATTTATCTATACAAGATAGTGTGTGATCATACAATTTAGGCCACTGATTTTCTGCACAATTTTTCTTATACAAGACAATACTACAAAATAGCATAATTGCAGATTTTCTAAATTTAAGAATTTAAAAATATTCTTAAATTTTCAATACTGTGTGTAAACTTGTGCGTTAAAGTATAGAAAACATTGAGGAAGTTGTGTTGTAAAAGAAAATTTAGAACTTTGGCTTATGATAGATAGCTCTTAAGAAAAGCAGCATGCATCTTTTAAAAGCAATTAGAACAAAATGTTACCTTGACAATTAAGTCATTGATTTAACTTAGGTTTTTCAAACAGATAACATTATTTTATTTACACTATAAAGAGAAGTGTTCTGTAAGTGTCTAAGTCGCGAATGTGATCAATCATTCGAAGGTAAAACTTTGTCCGTCACTAAACTAAATGTGAGAACCTTTTATTTTTTCTTGCGAACTATAGCTCAAAATCGAAAAGTAATTTTGAAAATTTTGATCATGGTGAAATCATCTATATTCTTACTTCGGATCAAATAAAGTAACAAACAAATCGAAAAATCAATTACAAACAATTGAACGTATAGTCTAATTGATACTAGGTCCAGTAGAGAATGTTTGGACTATTTAACTATATCATGTCTCTACAAAAAAATTTTTAATAGAATTCTTTAGTACATGTGGTCATCGATACAGAAATTGACTTTTTGGCATCGATGGATGTCAATACAATTGCATCGATGCGATTTTTGTAGGTGATTTCGTCAGTCATCTTTTTGTTTCATAACCGGTTATACCATATAAGATATGCGGCGATTTTTGATTTTCTTCGAAAGTTTTTCACTTTAAGTTTTCGTTTTAGTGAGAGAAGAACCGTGGTACCACGGTTCAAAACTGATGCCTGTCATGGCTGTGTTCCATTGACAAAAAAACTAGTGTGGCATTGATTTTTATCAATGTACATGTGTGATGAGGTATTGAATTTTACGGATGTGGTATTATTTATTAGAGTCAAAGTTGACATTGACGCGATATCGATCTTTATCGATGTATATTCCAATACCAAAGCTTTTTTTTCTACAAATGTGACATTAAAATGTTTTTGCACGAATGTTTCACTTTTAACATCCTTAGCTTATGCATTATAAGAAACCACTGAAGGACAAACCCACATTCACTTTTTGTATGTCATAGACACACTTTATTTTTAAAATTTACTGATACAACAGTACCTAACTTGAAGAAGAGCAAACTTTTTCTTGAGGAACTTTGTCGTGAAGCACCGGATACATTTCTGAGAACTATCGACTAGAAATCGACTTACCTTTTGTTTTAGATTATCGTCTAATCGCTGTAATTCATGTTCATACTTTTGTGCGTTTGATGTTAATTCAGTTCGTAAACGCTCGATTTCGGAGTTCATTTCTTTTAGTTTATCTTGAAATTAGAGATAAGAAAAAATGTTAAGTTCAGGCTATCTAACACTATAAAATAAACGTACCTGAAAATAATTCTTTTGTCTTTTCTAGTATTTGTTCTGATTCCTTATATTTAAATGATTCTTTTCCACACTGACTACGCATCACTGTCAACTCATATTCTAATGTTTGACGTAACATTTCACTTTTCTCAAAATCACAACGATACTTGGTTAGTTGTGATTGAAGATGATTAAACTAAATAATAAAAAAACCCGTATAGTAGCAAAGAAACAACAAAGCCAACCTTCATGGATCTGTTTTTACCTATTTATTGCAATATAATGCGTTAAGATACGTCTATTGCGTTGTAATGGAATGAGTTTATACAGTTATAATTCCAAAAAAAGCATGTATTTCAGCGTTATAATGCTATAAATAGGGGGAAACGATCCAGTGGAAAGAAAGGTAGAAAACGGCTTAACATACTTCTTTATTTCTCTGGCTCATATCTTTCAATTTCTGACTTTCTAATTCTTGTATTTTTGTAATCAATTCGACATTTTTCTCTAAATATGAATAATACATCGATCTTCAGTAAATATGGACAAACTTTTTCATGAAACTATACTTCTTTCGTTATTTACTGTCCGCTTTAATTCATCTAAATTAAAATTACTAATCATCGATAATTTTCCTCTTTCACCTTCTTCATCGGTGAATATTTGAGGTGGCGTCATATTTTCGTTGAAGTCCGATAAAAAAGAATCATCTTCGAGCTATAAACGGATATAAAACGGATTTTTAATGAGATTTATATTTCTCATAGTCGAACAATGAAAAATCACGAGAAATACTACAGCAAATAACTTTACACAGCCATGGTCTATATATAGCTAACAAAACTACCGTTATTCATATTCACACTGTTACTTATTTTTGCACAATTTCTCTAAGAGTTTAAGGACTCCCCTCTCTGAGAAAAAACCCTTTTTGTATTACATCCAATTTTGATGGCACTTTCAATAAATGTTTGCCATATCAAAGTGTGGTTATGAAATATTTTTTCCCTCGCTATCTCTTACCGTTCCGGGGTTTTCCAGAGTCCAAGGTTAAAAACCCACCCTCCACTGTGCGGCACTTTTTTTAAATATACTTCAAGTGTGAGATCTCGGATTGATTTTATTTTAAACTAGACGTCTAACTGCGTGGGCTGATGGGACCAGATTTCTGATTTAGGTCTTCGTTCGTTTTGCAGAGATCCAAGATCCGAAAAACCCGAAAAATCCTTTCAGATTTTCCAAAGATCCTTGATTTTCTAGAAAACTAAGGCTTAATTCAAAAATCCGCTCCCATCAGCCCACGCAGTTAGGTGTCTAGTTTATATACAACCAACTCGAGATCCCACACTTGAAGTATATTTAAAAAAAGTGCCCCACACTGGGCATGTTCGAACAAACAACGTTAGAGAAAACGATGTGCATTCGTTAGTCTGTTTTAGGACATGTAGGAAAATGCCTGTAATTTTTGAACGCAAGATCACACAGAGTTGTGCAATGTCTTATTTTGATCAGGAAAGTCTGTTTTACAAATCTATGTGTTCAGAAAAATTTACTTCCGTAACTGTCCAGAAAAAAATTATTATTTAAAGACCCAGATTTTCAAGACTTCTAGAAAACTTGCTCGAAAACCACGAAAAAACAGTTCTAGGCCCGAAAATGATACAGATTTTGAAAGTAGACACTCCAGGCTATCCTTCCATGTGCTTGTCTGTAAATTGATTTTTTGATACAAAAAGATTTCATTCTCAGGGGGGACCCTTAAGTTAAAGACTGAAGACAAAAGAAAAGAAAAATCATAATGAATTTTGTGAAAAACAAAGTGGATTTTTGTTCTCTCAACGTGAAGAGTAGAATGGATTTCAGTTTTTCACAGTGGATATCTACTTTGCTGTTTCATGATCCACTAAGCATAACCCAACCACTTGTTCGAGGATATTTTGAGTGCTCGAAAATATGCTTTCGGTGAATCCTCGCCGAGGATTCAACCCCCCGAAAAATGAGACTTCAGATCCTCGATATAATCGTTCGAGGGGTTGACGATTTGTAGCCCTCGGGTTTCAGACAGGTAGAAATCGATAATCCCTAGAGGAAGTCTCATTTTTTGAGAGATCGAGCCTCCGGCGAGGGCGTATTTTCGAGCACTCACCTCGAACGGCTTTTTTCATCTGCATAGGTAGAGACGATCTAACTGACAAAACGATGTAGAAAACGGCACCATTCTAAGTAAAGGCAATAAATATATTTTCTTCTCACTATCGTAAACCATGTTCTAGCTGTTCTCGTTTTAAGTTATGTTCAAGAAGTCATCCATCATACAGTGTGCAAAGGCTAATTCTTTGTTTCGAAGACTATTATTTGGTGATCGTTATTTTTTGTTAAATTATGTATTCAAAAGTTATGAAAAAAAGCATGTACATACATTACTTCTGCTCATATCAACTGGAATAATATACAAGCCAGTTGTACTTATCAAGAGATTTTTAAAGAGATTATTTATTTATTGAATTAAAATTTTATCCCTTTCATAGTTGAGTGAATTTTATTCTTCCATTAACGTGATGCGTTTCTATGTCAACATGCCACTCAATAAAGAATAACATATGCATAGACGTTCTGTTAGACTCACATTGCCGCGACAATAATTAATGTATACATTACTTTTCGCTGTGCGTCATAAATGTGGTTAAAATTTACTTAACCGCCTTTTTAATTCTTATATTCATTTTGAATTGTTATTGATTTATACTTGTTTTAAGCAGAAGTGCTAGTTACGGTTAAATTATTGTTTTAGGCCATGTTCAGACTACAAAAGGTAAGTGAGAAACTCGTGACCGTATTGAATGAAAAAGTTAATTTCAACTTAAGCTATGTGCTCGACATGACTTAAGTTAATACTTAAGTAAGAAAAGAGTGTAGTAGTCTGGACAAGGTCATGGAAATAAATAATTGAGGTTTTTCATTATTTTGTTTTTTTACTATAACAATGAACAGTCGAGATCAATTGACTCCCAAAAGCCCAAGTAAAAGAGAACACAATAAAGTTGTATGAACTTTTGTTATACCGTTTCTTTCATTATCATATGAAAAGAAGTTTTTCTATTCCCAGTAAATAAATCTCCCATATTTCGGAATATATTTCGTCCCCCACTGGCAATTTATTTGAAGTCCTGCTACTTCAGCGTCATATTTGTGATGAAAAGATTGGCGGGTTATTACATAGTATGCAAAGATGTATGCCTCTTTAGCATATCTTGTCATAAAGATCATTATCATATAGGTGTTTGGATAGTATATGGCAAATAGAGTTATTATGAGATTCGTCAGCCGTCCCCAAAAACATCACTCTTCCTGTCGTGCGCTTCCCAGAGTTTATCAGACGTGTGACATGAATTTGTCGATAGAACCTAATTGAAAGGGAAATCTATTGTTTGAATTTTGAAAAATTAGCTTTGAAAGAATAAACTCTAAATTAGAACTATAAGAAGAAACAACAGTATAATTCTAACGATAAATGGTTAAAAAATTCACAATATTGATTTTAATTTATTTGTAATATGTGACTTTAGTTGAGCTCATCGGGTTTTTCAGATTGACATGACGTTATTTCGTTAAAATAAGCGTCCCCCATTCGGAACTTTCTGTCCCACATTCGAAAAAAATAATTTGAGATCCCTGGTGATGATGCTCTGCACTTCCGAGATGGCCTGGCAGATCATTGTTTTCTCTTTCTTGTAAAAGTGATCAAGTTAAGCAATGTATGTATGAGCATGGATAGCATTTTTAGTTCTTTCAGTTTTTCTTGTATCAATTTATATCTTTACCAGAGATCAGCATGGATCGGGTTAGAAAATTTTACAGAGTGATCGGGTCGACCGTGGCCCGCAAGGTATTTAATCGGGTCGGGCTGGACCGAACTCAACATTTTTAAGCATGCGTGGATTTTTAATTTATGCGTATACTCAGTACCGAAAAAGAGTATTATCACCGACATCTTAATGACTTCGTTTAGCTAATGCCTTTAAAGGTTGAAAAAATGAAAGCCAAGAAATCATAAAGATATAAATATTAGCTTGAGAAGTACATTTACACCACTTAGCGAGCAAAAGCATTACAAGTGCAAGAAAAAAATCGTGCCTGGGTCCAGAAAATTTTAACAAGTGGTCGGTCTGGGCCAAGTTTCAGAACTGGTCGGACCGAGCCGAGTTTGGTTCGGAAACTTTCACCATCGGGTCGGGTTAAAAACTTTCGACTCGTGCGGATCTCTGATTCTTACTTTGAATCAGTCGCTCCCTATTATCGATGAAGTCTCTGAAAAAAACAGTTCATTTATTTTTAAAAATAATCTCATAATGACCATAAGAATAAAAAAACATAAAAAAGAATCTATTGTTTTAAAAGTACATTTTAAACTTTTCGTCGCTTGTACTTTCTGCTTCTTGTACTGATGCAAGCATCCCATCAACTCAATAAGACGTTGTTGGTATAATTTAACGCTTGTTTCTCGAATTCCTATGTTATTCTTGATACTGGTTATAGTTTACTGCACAAAAAGTGAAAATCACCGGAGAGCCAAAACGTGTTTGACACACGACTGAGGAAAGGTCACACAACTGTTGAAAATAAAAATTTATCTCCATGCATTGAATCATATTGTTCATCTAAATAACAGAAAAATAACGGTAAAAACTTATTGATTGAAGTCTCATTCGACTTACCCTCATTATCACCACCGTAATATTGTCTATAATATGTTCCGTTCGTTCTATGAGTAGTTTGACCCTTTGACGAGGGTGTTCGATAAAATATGTCACTTCCCACTTGAAATTTTGGAGTAGAAACGGTGGTTGTATGAGGATTATCAACAGTTAATAATTCACGTTCCTAGATAAAAATCAAAGTTTAATAGCATAACAGTATACAAAGTAAGAGTGTTTCATTAATATAACAATACACTTTCATTTTCTCATTGTAGTTTTATAGCGATACCTATGTCAATATTTATGACAGTGATTGATCCATTGAACATACAATGAGAAAGTGACAATTTATGCCGCAATAAAATGAAAAATAAAAAAAGTTGTACTTGGACTTTTTATTCTGTTATTCACATGCTCAGCTGAGTGAATGATGTGATTCTAGTAAAAAGACATTTATCTTTCTCTTACTATCCGCCTGCATATAGCAGTAGTAACGGACAGCCAAATTCAAAAGACAGGATTTCAGTTGATAAAAAATACCTATAGCTAATATGTTTACCTAAATATCTATTTAATCATTTGATATAATGGAAATAAATAATTTTTATATTTAGCATCTATTACTTTGGATTTTAGATAATTTTACAGTCATAAAAATATAATATTAACTTGATCTTACTTTGACATTTGAATCTCTTAGATCATCATAGGTATATTTCGAACTTAACCATTCAGTGACAGTTTTATCTGAAGTATCATCATGAACTTTGGGAGAGTCTAAATATAATAAATAATATAATAGAGAAAACGAATAAAAATAAAATTAAGTAATATACCATTCAATGATGAATTTGTTCGTTGTCTTTTACAAACAAATGCCATTACCAGAAGTAAAATTATCAAAATTAAACCAGCAAATAGTGAACCATATAAAAGAAAACGTTCTGTTTGAGTATCTAAAGTGAAAAATTGATATTTGATATTATTTAGTTTATGAAAATGTCCAAAAATAAAAAAATTGATGAAGACAACGTGCTAAAAGTTTTAAAATCAATGCATGTTTTGAGGAGTTTTACAGCGCGTAAGAAAATGCGTCTTTCAATAAACATACACGGCAATGGAAGCGCTACACGGTGTGGTCAAGCGTGACGGAATATCATTTTTTTGCCTTCTCTGACTTATAAGTCGCGAGCGCTGCAACCGAAACTTCTGAAATTTTTATCACAGATAGAGAACCGTAAGTTCTATTCCCCAAAACACTTTCGTCCGATTTGGTTGACCCAAACACGAGTTTTGAGGAAGATAGAGCCCGTGACGGAATTTCAAAAAATGGAATCTTTTTTTGAGCGTATGTAAAGTTTCTCATTTTTCTACGAAATAAAAAACCTGTAGAAGAAAATGTTTTACATAAAAGTTATGTGGTTTTACACTAGGTTTCAAATATCTACTTGACAGTTTTATACACTTTCTATTAAAATAACTTCAAAATAAAGTCCTGAACTTGTCTAACAAACTGAAAAACTGGTTTTCTAGAAATCTGTCCAGAATGTCCAAACTTTGAAAAAAATGAACCGTTTTGTAGAGAATTGAATTCTCTATTGAATGGTATAGTTTTAAAACGTTCTCAAGGAAATGTCTGGGTCAGAAAATCGAAATTAGAAAATTTTAAAATCTTAAATTTAAATTCGAAATTTTGCAGAAATGAAAATTTAAAGATGAAAAGAATGAAACGAAAGGCCTTGAGTATATCTCGTTAATTTTGCGAATTTTAGTGATATGGGACCTTTCGCAAAATTGAATGTAGTTTGATGAAAAAATGTCGTAAAGAGACGTCTCATTTTATTCAGAAATGCTTGCTCGATATAACCGAGTTATTCGTAAAAAATTTCTCGATCGAATTCGGGGATGTGTTTTTCTGAGACGCTGACTACAGAAACTTCAATGGAACCTTTATATACACCACACCAAATTGAAAATTCTTTCAACTGTTCAAATCTTTTTTCAAATTTGTTCTAGGTATTATGATTGAAGAGAAAGATTTAAAATAAAGGTGGATGAATAATTTTTCGAGTCACTGTATGTAATGTACGTTGAAACGATTCATAAATAAGAACAGCGGAAGAATACTGAGGTTTTAGCCATCAGCAGTTCTCCTGTTTATTTCTAACTTTTCTGTTATACACTTATAACAGTCATCTAATGGAGAACAGCATCATCCAAAAGACGAAAATTATAATCTCAAGAGAATAACGTTGACAGCTATACTCTAAATTCTTCCCAATAATCGGCATACATCAGAAATCCTTTTCGCTAATTGAGAATAAATGCAGATATACTATATGTATGCTCAACTAAATCTATCCAGAGTGGTGGAGAAGAAGGAAAAACCATATTTTTGCCTGAATGCCGTGTGTTATAACTCTTACCTAATACTTCTAGCATAAATTGTACGGTTGTCGTTCCATAATCATTGGTAGCTGTGCAATTATATTTTCCCACATCATTAAGCGTTATTTGTTTTATATGCAAAGAATAAATGATCGATTCTTCATCGGTGGGCCGATTATCGTCGATAGAATATTTGTCACCTGTATTCGAACTGCCTTCAACTAAATATTTATCATCCCGATGCCAAAATAGTTGCTAGAACGGATGGTAGACCATTCAGAGATAAAGAAATAACACAATAACTTTAGTATAGCTCATACATGAATTACTGGATACGCTTGGATTACACACACCAATGTTGTTTCATGACCGACATGAGCCACGCGAGACGGTTCAGAGCGAATCAATGGAGGACCTGAACAAAGAGAGTTTGATCTTTATTTTATGGTCAGAAAAGCTGTGGGCTCAGCGTTAGGATGATAGATTGATCCCTTCGTGAATTTTTAAAAAAATTTTCATTGAACCATGAGGAAGTCTTTTTTGTTTTGATTGTTATCATTTTTTTCGTACGTACAAGCCTATTTTTCTATCCTATTATTCATACGCACATACGGTGAAAAATATTCATACTATTTCTGAGATAAAAAAACAACAACTTATTAGTCCTTATCAAACATTATGAATACCGATCTGGTTCAAAAGTCTATCTAACGAATTCATTACCTTTTTGCACGAGTTTAATTGTTCGTTTAACTTGGCCAAATCTTGAATGATAAGCGATACACTGATAATTTCCTAATTGTTCTTCATTTAAATTTTTTAAATGTAACAGTGATTGAGTTTGACCGTGAAGAAGTTGATCATTAAACTTCCAACTTAATTTTGATCTTGGATTCGAGTCAATTAAACATTCTAGTGTTGCCAATTTTTCTAAGTCAACGGTTTGATATGTTACGGATGATTCATTTACCAAACGAAAATAACCATTATATTTCTCGTAAAATAATGGTTTATCTAGAAGAGAAAATGTAGCTAGCTAATATTTAGAGACTTAATATCCTGTAAAAGATTACTTATAATTTGAATACTTACAGACAACATCCAATCTCAACGTAGAGTTTTTCTTGCCAATCGTATTTAGTGTTTCACATGTGATTTCATCATTGTTCATTGATCTCAGAACGAATAATTCCATCTCCGATCCTATCTGATTTTGTATCAATGTTGAACCATTGAACCATCTAGAATATATAGAACATTAAATTGATTTTTAATCTTCCTTCATTCGTCACTTATACTAGACCTAAATTGATAAACGGGCGGTCTTGCATTAACTTCACACACAAGTTTAATAAATGTATTTTCAATAATGGGAGTCTCTTGCTTAATATGAAGACGAACATCTGGAGCAACTAAACGATAAAAATCAAAAACTCTCATTTATTTTCATAGTGTAAATTTTTTATTTGCAACTGACAATTAACAATAATTTGTTCTTTAGCAATGATATTTTGATTAAGTGCTGTTGTTTCTGCGATACATTCGATTTCTTGATCATTCCAACTACGTTCAGCAATCACCGTTAAATTAGAAACCTATAAAAAATGAAAGTAAGAGTAGAAATATACGATAGAATATCGTCTCTAAATTTACACTATTTCTTAAATATTCGTTCATTATTTGAGCATAATCATTTTTGGCCACATATTTTATATGTTTTGGCAAATTCCAACTTAGTTTGGCTTCGGGAGATGATTTGATACTTCGACAAACGATGTAGGACTGTTTATTTTCAACTAATACTAATGGACTATCAATTGACACTTTTTCAGGTGGTTCTAAAAGAAGTGTAATAATAATAATAATAATAATAATAGTGCTGAAATAAGCCAGAAGCATACATAAATTTTAACAATTCTAAACTAATTAAATTTTTAGCCTAATGTGTACTCGATCGAGATTATCATTCTTGATATTCAATGTAATTAAGCTATAGAAACTTCTTTACTTTCGACTAGATAGTACATGTATTAAAAGTCGATTTTATCGATCTTTTTTATATTGACCATTTCTCCTATAGTAATATTGAACTGATTAATATTCTTGCTATGCCACTCTCAGTACGTGTCTATATGTTCATTCTCCAACTGTTTTTGTCTGTCTATAAGTAGCTGTACTTCTTCCGTTCTAATGATAATACTGTACATTTGTGATCAGCCCTAATCATCTTTAAAGTAAACAATCACCATTTCACGCACAATCAAATGAAGATTACTGTCTGGAACAACAACATAATAATTAGACTTACGTAAAACAATAAGTTTTGATTTTCGTGATACGGCACCTAAATTTTTAGCACCTGGACGAATTTGACATTGATAAGTGCCAATATCTTGCAACGATGCATTTACAATTTGAAAATGATGTTCACCTAAATTATAGAAAAAAAAATCATCAAAACAGTCATTTCAACTTCGAATTACTTCATCAATAAAAACATAATTTTTCTGTCTATCAACCTGATATTCAATATTGTAATATTTTTTCAAATATAAAAAGTGTATCAAAACATAATTTATTCATTTTATACACTGATTTTATCTATTTTTCACGACGAATATTGAAATTTTATGTTGTTTTCAACCGGAAAAGATACTTATTCAGCGTAGAAATTTATGCGAATGTCATGAATTTCAGATAGTCAAGTAACAGAAATTCATTTTCATTCACTACTATTTATATACCTTTAAGTATATCACCCGTAATTTCATATCTTGGATATGATGGTAAATCTCTTGTTTTACCCAGTGTACAAAAGTCGTTTTTACACCATGTAACTTCGACTTTTGGATTTGTTGTTTTACATGGAATTAAAACTGTTGTACCCGATTTGACTTCTAAATCACGTGGTTGTTGTAAAAATGCATCTTTTAATGAAGAACTACCTAAAAATTAAAATATAATATTCAATATAAATTTATCAATGTTAAAATTGAATTATTCATACTAGAAATGAATAATGTACTAATTAAAAACAAAATAAACATTATTATCACGGATCATCCATTCATTTATTAATGTATACATTTAACAATTAATAATCAAATCATCTGAAAATAAGTTCATTTTCTCATCTAAAAATAGAGTAAATGGATATATATAATACATGTTCTGACATATTAAAAAGAAAAAATATGAGCTAAAAAGTTCAATGCAATCTTTAAGTATATTTAATCTCTAATAGTAAGTAGTAGCTGTTAGTCATTGTCACTTATAAGCCGGTTAAAAATAGGATATTTTAGTTTCAAACTGATCTTTTTTCATTTATAAAAGTGTGAAGATGAGCATGAAATGAAAATTATAAGACTGAGATTCTTGTATTCAAATTGTACATACTTGACAAGGCAATTCGTAGTATATTCTCAGAACGTGGTAATTTGACTTTTGTCTGACTCAGTTCAGACATTGCTAGTTTGATAATTATTTTTAATGTTTTTCTACATAAAATGACATATCCATACATAAAAAAATTGTAGTTTAATTAACTTGAGGCTTAACTGAGATAAACATTCACTAATATAGAAGTAGTCATTAATTGTTCCTGTTTTGCATATTGATGCGCATATATAAACGAAAAAAAAAAGAAGGAGGAGAAGGAGAAAAACTGTTGAATCAAGATTATATTCTAATAGATGTGGATTTAATCTTTTTCTTTCTTTTTCTCTCCCTCTCTCTCTCTCTCTACGGGCTTGTCTACAATTAATGAACTCATCACTACAATGTCCTCAATTAGGCAAAATGGTGTCTTTTTACTTTATCCTTAACTCGCTGAGATAAGCGAGAGAAATTTTTCAGTCATCCGAAGAGAACTCGTTGACCATCTGTAGTAAATGGTAGTAGAGAAACAAAAGAAAAATTATTAAAATAAAACCGGAAAAAAGAAAACGTTGCTAATTAGACATAAAAGCGATGTTAAAGAACAATTTTCTCGGTCTGAAAACTATTATTCATTCTATTCAGATTAGACCCACTAGTGATGTTTTTTATATTTTATGATAATGTCGATTAAAAAATAGCTGTTAATGAAATATCGTTTAAAAAACAACAAAAATATATATATATATTTATTTTAAAATTATTGTTGGAAAACTTCGCCTTATTAGTGAGTGTATTATCATATTTTTACGTGCTTACGTATGTAACTAACTCTCTCTCTCTCTCTCTCTCTCTCTTTCATCGGGCTTATTTTAAACTTTAATGTGTGAACTAATTTTGCTTTATGCTTGACCCCATAGAAGTAACAACAACACATTATACACTATACCTTTTGATGTACACATTATGAAATCGGGCATGTAATGAACTATGTGTGTATGTTTTATACAACAATATTTTTTTTTGTTATGAATTGATAAGAACACACTTTATCAAGTTGTTACCTTTTTCAACAAAAAAAAAAAAAAAAATGTGTCGGCGCAAAAAGAAAAAAAATAACACTTGAACATATAGATAGATATATATACATAACATATATATATATATATAGAAAGAAAGTTAGAAAAAAAAAAGTCATATGTACGGTTATCGTCAAGCAGTACAAAAACAGTCTTGAAATAAACTTATATAAAAATTACAATCGACATTTTGACGAGACATTAAGTGCTTAGAAAGAGAGAAGATTATGCAATATGTCAAGAGCATATTTTATCGCTTCCGTTTTCATAAACAATATTCAAGAGAAAAAAAATTTTTTTCAATAATAGAAATAGTCATCGCTTTTAGTTAAATCTTAAAAAAGTAAAAATATTGAGAATATAGTCAAAAATGTGTATTATATTGAAATAGTAATGAGTTAATACGTTTGAGGTAGTATATTTAACTGAAATTTGGTTCAGATATGCTAATGATTAGAGAAAATTTTCAATATTTTATACATAAATTTATCTATCTAGGACATAAATTTTAAAAAGTGTAATTATTTAAGTAATTTTACTTATCTCTACATCTAAACAGATAGATCAAACATAGTTCTTTCTGTTTAAACTTCCGTTAGATTAATAATTTTTTTTTTTTTTACTTTTTATTCTCTATTTAATACGCCATTTAAACAGTTGGGTCTCAATTGGTCTCTTGAAATGGATGAACGAGTAAAAGATGTCAAGAGAATTTTAAAAAAAAAAAGTGTTCTCAAAATGATTGTTGCAAAAAATGTATTGTAGTAGATAAAGAGAGGAAAGATACAACATGAATTTGAAAATGGTTGTGTATATGTGTGTGTGTGTACGTGTGTTCATTGATCCGAATGTCTTTATTTTACAAGAGAAGGAAAAGAAGAATAAAACATTTTGATTAAAAAACTCTTGACTTTACTGTACTCTACAGTAAGTCTTTAGAGATTTGTGTATTTAACAAACGATATGTCATCATTAATTTGTTTCTTTTCAGTATCATAATGAATTTTTCTTCTCGCTAGTCTTATTACATAATACACAGATACTCGCTTTCAATATTTTTAATTATTAAAAAGAATAATAACCTGATGTTAAACACAAATAATGATAGAAATAAAAGAACAACAAACAAAACAGATTTTCTTAAAAATCTCTTATAACCAATTCTTATAATCTTTAAATAATAATTCTCTTGTTGATTTTTTTTTTTTGACAAATTGTTTCTGACAGATTTATTTGACATTTATTATTTGTAGAAAAATGTTTTGAGTATAAACAGGTTTTTGAACTATTAATATCAAACTTAACAGAAAGTGATATTTTATTGACTAAAATTATTATGACGTCGATTTGCTAGTAAAAAAAATAATTATTTTTCACAAGTTTTATTACATTATCTGAAATATTCAAGTTGATTGAAGTCAAAATTGCCTTTAGACTATAAAATATCAACTGAAATGAAGAAAAAATATATATAATATTCCAAGTTTTATGATAACATGACGACTATTCATCGACCGGTAATTTTATAACTCGAAGGTAGTTTATTTTCGATGAAATAAATACGATTATTCATTCATTGTTAATATAAAAGCCAAAAGGGATGATATGGTATACGACCATCAAAATAATAATTTCAAATGAAAATCCGGTTCTAGTCACATTTGATCTCTGTTCAATGTGCATAGAAAA